CTTCGCCTTCCTTGTCTATTGTTGGTCGCCTCCGATGCTCTATCGTCTAGGAATATATTCAAGATCTCATCCCGTTTGAGGTGATGCACAAATTTGCACGGAGGCGAGACACTTGGCGACGGATAAGATGAAGACCGTCGACTAAACTCTGAACAGCATCCACAAGGAGCAAGTGTGGTTGTGGAACCCGATTCAACGAAAAGGACTCATCCTAAATATAGTCCCCTCGGATGGTCCATATACAGTGCTGAACCACTGATGACACGTAGTTCGCTCCGAGTCTTCGACTCTAAACCTAGAGTCGTTCATTACGACAGGTTAGCTCATTACTATAGGCCTGTACGTAATGTAAATATGTAAATAGAATAAGACATGGTTCTTTTTTTTTTAATGTGTATTGATTGATTTGTATTAGTATTTGATATGCATTAGCTTTGATTGTTTAAGTTAGTTATTGCATTTATTGTCAGTTGTTGATTGTATGTATGTTTCCCAGTAGCAATTCCACGTTTAGTTTAGCTTCCGTCCGGGATTGTACTGCCCGGACGTCATCCTTGGGAAGGGGGCATGTTACGAATTTGTATTAAAAAGCAATGTTAGTCATTAAATTATGATTTATTTTATCGCGCAGTGCGCGCGTGACGAATATTAAAAGACAGCTAAGCCGGAAATGAACTACAAGAGAGCGCTGCATAAAATATAAATATCTCTTTGGTTTCGAGAACGTACTGGAAAAATTCTAGCGCGTGATTGTTAAAATCTTCATAAAAGGAGAAAAGTCTCAGTTTGTGCAATCCTTGTGTTGTTGCTTAGAAAACTGTCTGTTGATTTAGCAATTAGCGGATTAGCGTTTCTTAGCTTTTTGAATTACGTTCTATTGGACATTGTAGTTAAAAGATAACTCTTGAGAATTGTATATGCATTATACTTTGAGAAATTTAATCATTTTGTTGTAAATAATAATTTTTGTTCATTTTTCAACTATTGTGCATCATCGTAACGAATCCTACGCACGCACAATATCTATTTATCCTCATATTTAATTTTGATGGTAGAATTAACCTAGATATATCGATCCCCATTTAGGATCAGGCTGATACTGACTAAAATTGTAAAAAAAAAACTTTTTTTTTTTTAATGTCGCGTAAAAGATATCTTCTTTAAAAGAAATAAAGAAATTTTTTATCTGACGATGACGACGATAATACCCCATATAATGTTGAAATTCCACAGAGCGGTTGATGAGATTTCAGATATGAGCATGGAGACAACGTAATGATGATGAGAAAACCTTGTTTCCCGGGTGGTTGAAATTCACCGGGTGGCGGATTTGAGAAAATTTTTGTGAATACAAACTGAATCTTCAGCAATGAAGAAAAGGTACCGGCTTACCACCTGCTAAAAAAGAGAAAAGAAGTATTGACTTGAAATTGGAAAAAAGAAGCAACCTAAGTACTCGAAACTATATGAAAATTCTGACGTTACAGAGACAAGGTGAAATGATGTCATTAGAAAACTCAGGGAAAAATTCCCGGTAGAGTGTTTTGAAATACTTTTTGATAATGAAACCTACCCTATATTGTCCAGCAGTCTATAATATACACCATACAGAAAAACAATCATCAATTTCAACTTTCTAATAACTGCCTAAAAACATTTATTAGAATATTTCTTTTCACTGGCTATCATTCACTTCCGCAAGAACAATTATATTGAGTGTGAAGATGAAGACATGAACATTCTGTGTGTTAGAGCATGCATGAGGTCGGAATAGGTATCTGGAAATTAAACGGTACCTACATATCAGGTGACAACTCCGATTTAGAAAAGGAATTCCACTAGGTGAACGTGATTAACCTCTTCAAGAATTCGGCCCATTGATTGACAAGCTTGAATGACAAAATTTCAACAATTTGGGGGGTGTTTTCTGAAAGTTTGAGCATTGACGAACAAATGGTTCGTTACTTTGGACATCACTACCTCAAACAATTTATACGTGGTAAGCCCATGCGGTTTGGGTTCAAACAGGGCTGTCTGTTGTTCACAGACTGATATTGTTATCAGCTCAAGTGTATGAAAGCAAACAAAGAAAATTAGGATGATGAAAGCGTCAGTGGGCTTAGGACATCTGTTGTCTTCAGATGGTATCTTTCTTCAGACACAAAGCTCATAAAGTTTACTTCGAAATTTTTTACAGGATATTCTCTGATGAAACATTTGCAGACATGACGTTAGAGCAACAGGAACTGTCGATTAACAGAATGAAACAAATGCCTATTGCAACAGACAAAGAGATAAGGAAAAAACGAAACGCGGGGCATATGACTACAGATTTGATTCGTAATGAAATTTTAGCTGTCACGTGGAATGACAACAGTTGTTGTTCGTCTAATCATGAAACTATCGAACCAATTCAGAGTGAAGCGATGGAAAGAAAGAAGAAGAAAGATATTCAAGTACAAAACAAACTGATATCAGAATATAACAATGCATAGGTGGAGTAGACAAGATGGATTGGAATGTTCAAAAATCATAATAAGAAAAGGGGGGAATGGTATTTCCTTTGCTTACTAATGCGGTTGACTTAACACTGATTAACCACCACGCACTGTTTGTATTTCAAATGATAAAATTCCATTGCTAGACTTTAGGAGGATGTTGCTAGAGGATAATCTTGCTTATCTTCAGAACTCTCAATGCAAAAAAGGGTGAAAGGAATTTCTTTCACTAAACATCAATTAATTGTATTCGTACTGTTATCAGAACATCTGGTAATCATTATATTGAACGGACCGAAAATGGTAAGCAAAGAAAATGTGCAGTGTGCAAAACAAATGAAAAAAAAAAAAAACAATGTGGAAAAGCAATGTTGGATTACACGTAGACTGTTTTGAACGCTGACATTAAAAGTGGATAGTATTAGCCATGATCCCCATTTCGGGATCGGACTTAAATTTAAAATTTCTGAAAAAAAATTGACGCATTTATGAGAAAAACATGTTTTTCTTATTATTTAGATGTAAACTAACAGAAATAATATAAAAATTGATGAAATAAAAATTTGGCAGTTAATGGGTTAAATGATAACCAACTTTTATTATAATATTTTTTATGCATTGCATATTTAATAAAAATAGTCAATAGATTGTGCAAATGGAAAAATAAATTTTTTTAATATTTCTGTTTAGAAAAAGAAAAATAATCGTTGTAAAATATAATGGTCATACTAATCTTTTTCAGTTTTTGTTTAGATGGTACGCGTTTGTCCAAACGTTGAGAACCGCTGGCATAGATTATAATAACGTTCTTCAGTATTCGAAGTTTTATAAGTCCCGTAGCGATGAGAATTAGATGGGCTTTATTAACTTATACTGTGATTAGTAATTATTATATTTAAATTTTCAGAATTACATATTCTATCCGTGTATCGTCCTGCCGTATGAAATATCGCATAATACTTGATGTTTATATTACTGCCAACGTAATTTAACTTATTTCCAGAACACCAAAATCTCAAACAAATATTTTAATGCTTTAGCATCATTTTGCTCTAAATTAAAATATACGTATATAAATAGCCTAAGTATTAAACGATAATCTGAAAAATTATGCTCTCTGATTAATGTTTCGAAAAAGTACCAATGGTTCAAAACGTTAGGTTAATTATTTGAAAAAGAAATCAGAAATGGACTTCTGAACACTGGCTGACGCACAAAATGGAGACACAGCGAGTTTTGCAAAGCATGCATTTAGGATTTATGGTATGTAGTTTAGTTTAAAGTATTATCATGACTAAAACAAATAATTTAATTAAAAAGCAAAATTTATAACTTTATATTAGCCTATGGCAAACAGAAGCAGAGGTAACTGAAAAAGTGGATATGCCACAAACTCAAGAGCGTGGAACCTCGTTTTAAGCAGTCAGCAAGCTAATAGACTGCCTGTTACTATCGCCATTTCCTGTTATTATCGGCTCGAAGAAGCCGTGACGATGTACTAATAATATTTTTTTAATTTAATCATTTATATATAAATTCAGACTTTACTAAAATTTCACCTTTTCGTTTCCTCACCAGAATGGAAATTCTGTTAGCTAGCATTTAGACTGAGATTTCTGAATTATAAGGCCAGAGCGTGTTTCTACGTTTGAGGGCACCTAGCGTTAGTTTTCACCGTGTTTGATGTGTGCTTAATCATTTGGCTTTGCGTTTATTAGGGCCGACATTTTAATTTGTTACGCCAGTAGAATTATTGAGCGAGATTAGAATGAAATATGATTGTGTAGTTCTTGACAACTAGCCTAACTATTAAAAGGAAATTTATTGTATATTTAGTTGCATCAGCAAGATTTATGATTTTGTTAGCACAAAAACTTGCATTAATTTTCTAATTTCTGTCTAATAAAAAGGTTATTAAAACCTTTCCATGGCTTTTGGTTACTTAGACAGAGCGATAATTCGCTTCCCTTCTGATGGAATTAATAATTCCTAAACAACTAAACTCCTATAATTCTGCTATGGCAGATTTGTTATTGTATCTTCACTGCCACAGTGGCACAAACCTGACCTTATATTGCTAAACTAAGGCTTTCACTACTTTGAGCTGAGGAACTTGATGTTTTGGGTCGTACTGACTTTGTGTTTTATTAAGTGTCTGTTTAGTATAGTTTGGTCATCGTGTTCAATCATGCCAGTAATGATGAGAAAATGTACCGTTTGAAAGACTCCTGATATAGCCAGAATTATATTCTTCAATACGACATATTTCGTTCATGGCGTCAAGGATACACAGGACGAGAACATGAAATATTTTATCTTTCTTTCCAAATGACCAATCCAATCATTTTTAAAATAAGCATTGAGATGACAACTTAAAACTTTGCCGAAGAAATAATTTTCTTCAAATTTGTATGTCATAAATTTATGCGTAACACACTGAATATGAATAATAAAGAAGGCCTTCATATTTTTTGTATTTTCAAATGATTTTATCCTTTCCAGATCCCTGCACTTTAAATCCATGTAAACACGATGGAAAGTGTACAGTGACAAGTTACGGATATGAGTGTTCTTGTGAATCTCCGTACTCGGGAAAAGAATGTGAAGAGGGTAAATTCTTTTTAATAAAATGGCATGATGGTCTATTTAATAGATGTTAGTAAAACATGGAGATTTATTTGCAAGTCTTTGGTTTCGTTTTAGATCTCTGCAGATCAAATCCGTGTAAAAATGGAGGAACATGCTATGTAGCTAACGGTGTTGTGGATTGCAAATGCAAAGTACCCTATTTTGGAAACCTCTGCGAGAAATGTTTGTATTTATCAATAAATTATTAAAAAAATAATCATGTTTACTTACAGAATTTACTACACTAATACAGGAACTGATGTTAGTTTACAATGAAATTCTTTTCTTTCCCTTCCTGTGCAGATCCCTGCACACCAAATCCTTGCCACAATGGTGGAAAATGTGAAATCATCCCTTCCGGATATAAATGTTCTTGTAAGACTCCATACTCTGGAAAAAACTGCGGAAAAGGTAACGTTTTAAATTACATTTTGAATGAAGTGAATGAAATTGAAATTTTATTCATTACTGTATTAATATATGTAATACGACAACTGGCATTTCTAAATGAAATTATCAATTCCAGTTTAAGATGTTTGTGAGATAATAATTCTGGTCACGTATGTCGTTATGAAAGTTAGCTTAATTAAGTGGTTAGGTTGCGATAATGCACTCATTGCTATTAAATTTTTCTCAGAAGGAGAGAACTGAAAGACTCGAACGTTAGTTTTGATTATGTAAATGCAATGTTGATGTAACTTAGTGATCAATAAATCAAAGCAAAATCTCATTTGTTTCAGGATCACAAAATTCAGTGGATGTTCTAGTGCGCTGTTGAGCCATATCTAGTTTAAATGCGCTGTGCAATATGGGGGTGGGGATTTTGGCATAGCGTTTCTGTATGGTGCCCTATGTCATCTCATTTCCAGTTGTTAAGATAATTCAGTTCGACCATAATTCTAGGCTTTCCATGCTGCCATCCTTAGGGCCTACGTAATCGACGATGAATCTGTAGATCAGACAGGCCAAGATTGGATGGTATTTTTTTTGGAAGCAGGAGAGAAGATTGGATGGTAATGTGATAGAGGCATTCCTTTGACACCTTGCTGTAGTCGGGTCCTCTCTCAGGTTTCACCTCAGCGCGGTAGATCTAAGGACGGAGCTTTGCCAAAGAGGCGGCCACCAAGCATGAAAGGCCTGAGCAGTTTCTTTGTGGTAAATTGTTTCTAAGCATCCACTCACTAAAATAAAATCGGTAGTGCGTTATCTGTCTTAACTCGGCAATGTTCGTAATGAGGTCGTCATGTAGGAGCAGGTTCGGTGTGAGTATTGTAACTGGTGATAGAGCTACTGAAGTCTTGATAAATTCACGCTTATGTAGGTAGTAAAGTATCGTCGTGTTTAAAAATGTTTTCAGGAGCCGTGGCATGACTGACAACACATGTGGCCAAAGGAGATCGCGAAGGTACTGATTGACTCTCATGTTATCGTCAATCAGTATTAGAAGTGAGTGGGCGTTGTATGCTAAGGCACCTCATATCCTTACACAAGCTGTAGTAGAAGCTGCCGTAGTAAATACCAGGCAGGACTGAGACATTTACCACCGTGTGTCTGGAAAGATACATGGATGTCATCACTGCCCAAACTAAATCTTGATTCATCAGTAATAGGCGTGAAGATATCATTGTCCTTTAGCTATGAGCTTCATGATGGTACGAGCAGCCACAGGGTCTGTGCTGAAATGTCTGTATGTGTCTAGATGACGGATACAGGGAGCACTAACTTAGTTGGAATTATGTACGTGTGTTGAGTGATGTGAAGGTCCTCTTGACTACTAGTCTGCCGACGGCATCCTGAACTTGGCCGCCGTCTATGTGAACTAACTTTCGTCCACTGATCCTAAGACCTCTTCAGACCAAATTCAGAATGTATTGGGAGAGTGGTGTCACAAAAGAGCAACGAGATAGACGCGCACATGTTTTAACAGTATAGATTAGCAGGCAAGCTCGACATATGAGCAGGCCTTTCAAGTAAATAACTAACTCGTAAATAAATTTCTATTGACAAATTAGCGTTTTCATAGTTCGCTAATTTCTGCTTTTATAGTTTTGTAATTAATATCTCGCTACAATCCGCAACAATAAAAAATTATTATCTCCCGCACAACCAATTCGTAAATGGATTTAGGTGCTTAAAACATATATTTTTTTAATTACTTTACTTAATTTACATTTTAAGTTACATTTACTTCAGTTTAATTTGAAATTATTGTGCACTGAATTAATCACTTATGAATAATGTGCTAAAATAATGTAAGATGCAGTTTAATGTAATATTAGGTTTTAAAACATTTTAAATAGTGCAAGTTTCATAAAAAGTATAATATGTATTCAGTGTATGTAATGAAGTTCTAAAGTAATGTAAGATGCAGTATAATGTAATGTCAGTTTTAAATGTATAATATGTTCTCAATGTATGTTTTTTATGTTTAAATACGTAAGGCAAATGTATAAAGTAATGAAAAGTATGGTAAATGTAGTGTACGGTAAAACGCACATTGTAATATAGTGAAATGTATAAAAGTAAGGTATCATATATAATGTGTGACGTAATATAAGGTACAGTATAGCGCAAGTATGGCATAATGTACAATATAAAATTCTATATATTGTAATGTTTATATCTATGCATCTTTATTTAGGTAATAACCAAGAATGTGAAGGGGGTCATCCTCATGTAGCAATAACAACAGTCTGTCATACCATGTTGCCAAAGCCCTTGTATGGCCATATATTGATTGATAGTTGTTTCAATAAATGCTGGGCCCGGGCGATTGGATGAGAGGGAATTCCCGGGGCATATTGGTCTGTTCGACTGCCCACCGGATGCTCTAGGCGCTGGATCTCGGAGGCTTGTGCGAGGATCTCGTGTGGCCACACCAACTGGCCATCTCTAGATAAGGGTGGACGTGGTGCTGTACTGATTAACCGAATGGCAAAGGAACAGTGCCCACGTCCTCCGTCGCTTATGGCTTACAAAGATGGGAATATTAGAAATGGCTTCCCACGAATTTTTGGTATCCGGGGTATTTCTCTCGAAACTCAAATCCCTCCCACTCTGGAGGACATGATGTCAAAGGGATGTCAAATGATGTCAAATTCCGGGACATGGTACCCGGAAATTTTCGTGGTTACAATACTTCCTTTACTTCGTACAAGGAAGTAAAGAAACAAATAAAATTTTCAAAGTGGAAAAATGGCTAGGATTGGCAATGCGGAAAAGTGATGATTCACACGTGATGGATCCAAGGAAAACACTAAGAATACAGAAGGGAAAAGACAATTTTTTTATAGAAAATACAATGAAAGTTATTTATCATTTGGGTTTACTTGGAGATTAAACGGAACCTTAATTAGTTGTTTGCAGTGAACTATTATCCAATCAAAGTATGAAACCCTCGTTTCTTAAAAATCGTCATAAATCTCCTCATACCATTTTAAAGGATAAATCTGAAAAATATTTTATGACGAAATTATCGGAGTTCAAGAATAGTAAACAATTAATCGAAGATTTTGTTACCTCAAGTGAAAAACTTTGGAAGCTAGTTACCTAGTAAGTCTAAGAACAGTCTAAGACTGGTCAGGCGCACTCTATTCGAGAAAAACCTAATATTATCAAGAGCTAAAGATATCGTTTTAACATTATGCAACGAAAAAGCTGCTATTGAACTTAATAATGTTGCGTTATCAAATGATTCAGTAAGTCCACGAATTTATGAAATGGCAGTGAACTTTTTTCTATTATTAGTTTACATACGTTTCGTAAAAGATGAAATTAGATAAGAAGATATTTACTTTGTGAATCTCTTCATGGTAGAGCAACAGCAAATGAAATTTTGAAAGTAACTGACAATTTTATGTCTGAGAAGGATATTCCTTTAAAAAAGTGCGTTATCGTATGCAATGACAAAGGCTTTAACAGGAAAGCATTCCGGTGTTATTTCTGAAATAAAGAAAGGTCTCACCTGGAACTAAATTTACTCATTGCTCCTTTCATCGTGAAGGTTTAGTAACAAACACAATTCCCGAAAACCTGAAAATCGTTTTGAATCAAGCAGTAAAAATTGTTAATTTTATTAAAAGCCGAGCTATAAATTTCAGACTATTTACTATTTTATGGCAAGAGATCGGCAGTGAACATGAAACGCTCTTGTTACATTCCGAAGTGAGGTGGTTATCCAAAGGAAAATCTTTAAATCATCTTTTTAACTTCAAACAGAAAATCAAATTTTCATCTGTGATTCAAAATTTGAAATGCAAAATTGTTTATTTATTGAATTATGATTGGATCAATTAGCATATTTAGCTCATATTTTTGGAAAATTACATGAATGAAATTTGGGATTACAAGGACAAAGTATTAATTTGTTTACCTTTAGAGATAAACGAAATGCAATGATAAAAAAATTCGAGTTAATAATAAAAGAATTGGATAATAATATTTTTAACTTTTTACCACTTTTAGAAAGTTTTCTAACCGAAACTAATGCGAAAATGAAAGACGACTTAACATCTTACATTAAAATCATAGTTTCTCATTGATAAATAATTTCAACATTTATTTTCTCGAGGGTTATAAGAAAGAAGATTGGATTACAAATCTATTTTGTTCAAATGGACCTAAAATTTTATCTCGTGAAGAACCGAAAAAAAGAATTTAAAGTCATTTCAAATAAAGCTATTAAATTTTCATTGTCGTTTTGCACAATCTATATGTGTGAAATTGTGATCTAATTGTGTATTTACTTTGTGTTATATTTGGAAAAAAGTACAGACGAAAATTTAAAGTGAATCCTAACTTACGGTTAAAACTAACTGAAATAAGACCAGATGTATAAAAATTCATCTCTCTTGGACAAAATTTCACATTAAAGTTTAGAATTAAAAAACGGTAACTTAAATTTTGATAATTAGATCTTAGACCTTACAATAAAACAATAAGTTTTAAATTAAAAACCTTTTAATTGCACTGACTAGCACTAACGTCCGAGCATCGCAAAGTACAAGGCATAAATCAGGAAATGTTGGATTAGATTGCAAATTTAAAATAATTAATACATAACCATTTTTGAGTACCATTTAATTTGTACATGCTTACGATGTCTTTTTATTTCTTGCATCTCAAACGCTTGCCAGAATAGCATCATATAAGATGCATTAATTCAACATTATGTCTCTTGCTACTTATCACCTTGCTTGGGAATGAAGTGTGAAAAAATAATTCAAATGCTTAAAGTTTATTTTAATGTCCAATATTAAATGCTAAAACTTTTCAACTAACAGCCGAATATTAAACTGTGCAGTGCGAAGATTGCCATCTGTTGAGAACATAATCATTAAGTATTAGTACGAATACATATATTAAAAATAATAAGAATATTTTTTACTTTATAAGTAAGGTTTGTTATACCAAAATTTTTAGGTGATGATATTTCAAAATCTATAGCGACTGACAAAAAGAGAAACAAATTTATTTACAATAAAAGTAATAGTAAAAATTACAATTAACATGGAAATTCTAACTGAGATGTATTAAAATTTATTAAATTTTTGAAACAAATTTTTCTTGAAGAATATTTATTTCCATGTCTTTTATTGGTTAATACTTCGGTGATTTCTAATGTTAGTTCCTGCTACTATATCAACATTCACGAATTCCCAAAGCTCCTAGGTGAGTCAGCAAGAGAACTATTCCTGGTATTGCAATAACAGTTCCGAGGTTATGAGAAGATAACAAATTTGTATTTTTAAAATTTTGCTATAGACTATGTATTATAGGATCGTAATTTTGGTTTCTAACATTTGCATCATAAATATTAGTTTTTTCTTGTTTTCCCAAAAGCGGCCAAGCGGTAAAATCGCTGAACACTGGTAGTTCGGTCCGAGGTTCGAAATCCCGCGAACGGGCTGGCTGCATGGGCGTTTTCGTGGTTTTCCTCATGTGTACCGTGTATACGAGCCAGTTTTCCTTAGAAAGTCCTCCACGAATGCATCCCTCCCCTTAGGCTTTATCAGGAATACGGCAAAGCCCTAGTGTTCTTTGCCGTATTCTCAATACACCAATACACCAATTTTCTTGTTTTCTCAAAACTTGTAATTTATCGAAAAGCAATAATGTATATAGCTGAAATATATTTATACTGCCAGTTTAAGAAATTTTTTAGATATTATAAAATATTCTATATAGTTGCACATCATATTTAGCGCTATGCTAATAACAGTACTAAGCTTGCAATGTGGCAAATAAAGGGTTCTTTTTAATTAGATTTATAAATTAGTTGCTGTGAATTAGCTTACTGGTACTGCATTTGCACTCGAATATCACCGACCCACCGTGCGTCTTTAAACTGTTTAACTCTAATAGAGCACGGAAAGCATAAGAACAGACATTAGCAGAAATATCAGTGCATTTGATATTGAATTTAATAATATTCATTTAAATCCCTTCCTTCATGTATGAATTCTGCCCTGAAAGGTTTAAAGTTCAGCACTGTTGTTAGCACCTTCTATTTTTTTTTATTTTTTTTTTCTGTTTTCTCAATCGCATATAACTTTCTGCAAGGAAATAATGTGAATCTTTCAACCTATAGATCTTCAATTAAAAATTCCACTCACCGTTGGCTTAATAGAATTATCTGCATGTAATAGTTCGAACCGGAATCCAATGCCCATGTGACCCACCAGTGAAAACTGAAAATTTGTAATTTTTTTATAGCCGGAGTAGTATCTGTCTTAGCAATGCACACCAAATTCTAAATTCGCGTTTTTAAAAAGCTGCATAATATAAAATTCAGAAATGATTTAATATCTCTCTCTTCCTGTTCGAATATGATACCTAAAATGAAAATTCTGCTCAAAATATTTGTAAAATCTACGGAATTCATTTTCTTTCCTCACGTTTTCGGGTGTTATTTTCAGAAGAACATTCCGCGAGAAAGCCATTTGCTTTCTTGCTTACAAACCATCTGAATATAAAAGCAAGAATAATTGGTTACATAGTTTTGAAGTCATTGTTTAGATCTCTGGAGTACAAGTGCATACTTAAGGTTGGAGAATGCGATTAAATTGACGACAAATGTAAATGCACCTGCATAGTTTTTTGCTCGGGATCATTATGCAAAATAGGATTTATTTAATCGCTCAGATATTAGATTTAAACACAGATGTTTGTTAGTTTTTGAATCAAGAGAATTATTTACGTCTTTAACCATTCTTTTTAGATCCCTGTGATCCAAATCCTTGCAAGAATGCAGGCAGTTGTATAGTTTATAATGGAGATTATTTTTGCGTCTGTCAACACCCGTATTCAGGCAGATTCTGTGAAGAAGGTACTTCTTTCAATTAAGTATTGAATTACTATGTTTATAAAACTTTTAGCATACGTATAAATAACGGGAAACTCATTTTAAGTCTCTGATCTCATGTTTCAGATCCCTGCAGCTCAAGACCTTGTCAGAATGGAGGCAAATGTAGCGTTATTGATGGAGAATATGACTGCACCTGCCCACTCTTCTACTCAGGGAAACAATGTGAAAAAAGTATTTTATTATTATTCACACGTTCTAAATTTATTACTTCTCAAAAAATATTTTGAATAAAGCAAGTGGATTTCACTATACTTTTCTCTTCTCATGTCCTTGAAATCGAAATCCTTGCAAAACTGTTCGTAACTGCATTGTTTTTAAAAATGAGATAGTATTCCAGATCTCTCTATATATATGAAAAGCACGTTATATAGGGGTTTAGCTTTGAATAAGATAATTATAGATTGGCACTAATGTGATTGCAAGACCTGATTCCAAGAAACGAACCAAAATATTGAAGCTCTCCGCATTCTTATTACGTCATTTTTCTAACTCAATCATCGCTAGAACATTTCCCCGCATAGGCGTAATGGCAAACCGCACATTGAGTTGATCAATGTTAAACGAATTTCCTAACTGCGCATGCCCAGAATAGGATTTGTCGCAAGTACAACTTTGGCGCAATTTTAAAAGATGATAAACACGGTATATAGTTAATATTGTGTTATCTACGCGTAAACAATTCGGGGTTTTAAAATTTCTTAGGTTGTAAGTTGCTTCATTACTTTGATTATAATTATCGATTGCAATTATAATTATCGACGCATATTGTCGTTTAAGAAGGATTACAGAACAGGAAATATTACAAGATATATTAACTGAATGCTTATTGATTATACTTCTGAGGAATAAAAGCAATTGAGCATTTACTATACGTTCCTTTTATATATACTCTCAAAAATTAAGGAATAAATCCAGTTTAAATTACTGAATTAAAAGTCAAATAACTGATGTTAAATTAAATGTTTATGAACGAAATAAAACAGAACGAAATGAAACAGAAGCATATGTAATAAGCACACACAAATTTCCGTAGTACTGCAGTTGTAAAACAGTAAAACCAACATGACTAACAGGCTTGTGTAAGGTTGCCCCCCTTAGTTGCCAGCATTTCCTCCCAAGCCAACGGTACACCTCTGAGCACCACTAAGCGAAATTCGTTAACATTGATCAACTCAATGTGCGGATTGCCGTTACGCTTCCCGTAGTGACTGGATCAGCAGATTTTAAATTATCAGCTCAACATAATAGTACTTTTTTCTTATTTTTAAAATAGCTCAGTATCTTCTTTATTAAACTATGCAGTAAAATTTCGATTATACAGCAACATCGGCAATATGGTTACGCCGACTTATCAAATATGCCCGGTTAGCTTCCTTATCTAAGAAATGGCGCAAAAACAATTTTGTAGATATAACTTAACCTATTGTAAGAGTGAAAAATTTTAAGCGAAAGTCAATACGCATCTGAAAACTCTACAAATGGATTTATGATTTGAAAACCTACTGGATAATAATTTACTGCACTGTTGTAACAAGTAAACTTCCTGAAATGTCCACCTTCATAGTCGAAGCGGCATTGAGGAAAAAAAAAATGAAGATTACCTACTTGCTTTGCCGCACATTAATTCTGTGGCAGTCTTACATCGAGTGACATTAATTAAAATTTACTCACCGTTACTCTCCACTTGATATGACACCAGCGGATTTCTCCATAATTATCTTACCTTTAATTTCTCATTCAATAAGTTTCATTTTCAGAAAGTGTAATTATAAGAGAATTGTTTGAGTAAACATTATGAACTGAGTCTAAAAGTCGTTAATCGTAAGAAAAACAATGTTTTTTTCCTCTTCAGCAATATTTGGCTACTTAACATTCAGCCGTAACGATGCTGGCCCCGAAACAAATAGTGTATTCTTTTCCATTTCTTTCAAATGATTTGCTCATAGTTTGGACATACAGGATTCGCATGTGCTAGATTTATTCAATGTGCTGAATCACATTGGGCTGGTTTATCAAATTTTACTTTTCATACGTAATTTTAAAAGGAGACTTACCAGAAATTAAGGCAGAAACGACTGATAAAAACGAAAACCTAAATATATCTTATACATTTTAAAATAAAATTTACAAAATGTTCGAACAACCAGAAATATGAAATCACTTTTAATTTCGCTCTATTTAAATCCCTTCTTTTCATCAAACAAATTTCGTTCCCTGCTACCTGAATATATGCTATAATTACAGTAAATGTAATAACGAAATTGATTAAAATTATTTTCTCATGAGCATAATATTTGCGTACTGCCTAACATCGTGTGAATAAGATATCTGCGTCTATTTATACATTAAAATATCGCATCGAAAACTGTTTTGAATAACTGCAGTTGCTGAAAATTGTTTTATCATCTTAGATTCCTATGTAAATAGTGGCATTGTTTGTATTGAAGATTTTAGGTCTAAGTATATATATGTGAAAGATTTTAAAAAAAGATACTGACTTTGTTAATAAAAGGTTTTTTCATTGCAAATCCCTTTAAGGTAATAAATGTATGAATCAAAAATTCACATTTTTACTTTCTGTGCAAAACTATTAAAATTATGACATGGAATTAAATATTAACTCGGAATTTATAATCCTGGATTACTTTACGTTGCGCAATGATCTGATTAAAAATGTCTTATAGGTAAACATATATTTATGAAATCTTAGTTTAAGTATTATTTTGTTTTATATAAATATATATGCTATTTTTCTCTTACCACAATCAGACATATGCCTAAAAACATGGAATGTATTCATTCTAATATAGTTCAATTTAGTACCTTTTTTCACGTAGTTTAAGGAGTTGCATAAAATTTTTATCTCTTCATTTGAAACGACAGTTAAGATCTCTAGTATGTCTTGATTAATAAAATTTATTTTGCATTAAAATGTCCCTTTGTAAATATTTTTAAACGCTTTTTCATGACTTTTTTACATATTAAGTTTTATAATTTCAGTGTGCTCATGCGGTCAAAATTCATCTTGTTTCTTCGACGAAAATGGGTTCAAGCGGTGCGTCTGTATAGATGGCTATGAAGAAATCAACGGAGTATGCAAAGGTAGGTAATTCATACAATGTAATGTTTAGTTTAAGTGGGTGCTTTCTTTTACAGTGCATTGTTACAAAAAAAATTCCTGCACTTGATTTAAACAAATCAACAGAAGAATACACCTTTATGGTAAAAAAATCTAATATAGACAAAATTTTAACTTCTACCTTACACAACGAAGACTGCGGAAACGCCCGTGCTTTCAGATGTCAGCAGGTCACCCGAATGTCTATATTCATTTTCTACCTGGTACTTTCCAACGTCACATTCAATGCATGGCTCCCTGGTTTCCGGAGTGAGCGTGCAATCATGTATGTTATTTAAACTCCGGAGTTTAAATAACATACCAAACATTCCTTTGAAGGGTTTCATATTTAGACCAGCGGCCGAGCGGTAAAGTCGCTGAACACTGTTGTCGGTCCGAGGTTCGATCCCGCGAACGGGCTGGTGATGGGCGTTTTCGTGGTTTTTCTCCATGTGTAACGTGTATACACCAGTTCCATTAGAAAGTCCTCCACGAGGCATCCCTCCCCTTAGGCAGATAGCCCTAGTGTGCTTTGCCATAATTAACTAAACCAAACCAAATCAAACCTTTGAAGCGATGAAAAGTAGCTGCCTTATTGGAAATCACCTTCCCTCTCCCTTACTCAGTCAACAGTTAGCTATTGATGCTCGCAGTTGCAATCCTGTACTAAGAGGAAATTGCACACAATGGATAAAATCACATAAATATCTCCAAGAGATATCGCTTCACTTAAGCAAGCAATTGTTAAGGTTCTCGCATTCTGGTTGCAATGGGGGAAGGGATTCCATTAAAAAAATGCTTATATACTAGCGTTTAATTTGTTTGATGCATTTTGATTTTACCGTCGAAAGAAAAATTTAAGATAGCATGAAGCAAGTTAAGGTGTTTACAACTGAAAAATTCTTAAGCGCTTTAATTAAAACTGCTGAAATTTAAAGCTAAACAATAAAGTTTAAAGTTCCAGTAAATGTAGTTAGAAATTAAGTGTCTGAACAAAAAAAAATTATATAAACTAAGAATTGGTCAAAATTTGCTATGACAACACTTTTCTATAAATTTAAAGAAAAATACATAATTCAAAAAAATTATCTGGTTTGCAGTTATGCTAAAAACCTTTTTTTTTTCTGTTGGTTTCTTTTTAGTTGTATTGCCGTGATAGAATAATTGCATGGACTAAAGAAAACTTCAGATCTAAACTGTTATTTCATAAACCAAATAATATACGTATCCTCAAAGTAAATTATTTCTAAATATTAATATATTTTATAATATGAAGAACGGCAGAAAACTGGGAGTTTTAATATTTGTTATTTATATTTTAAATTTGTATTTATACCTTGATATATAAAAGCATAATAATGAACTATTGAATAACCTTAATGCTATTCCCCATTCATTAATAATGACGCTTTTTTTTTTTTACTTCCGTGTGTAATAGCTTGCCTTTTATGAAACAAGAGGCTACGCTCCTGGCTTAGGCATTCTGATCTAAGGGTGTGTAAAAGAAAAATGTACTGCGTAATACAGAAATCCATCACATAAAAATGCTGCCAATGTACGAGTTAAAACATAAAGTTTCGTGAACAAAGATTTCAGTCCTTATTTCATGACTTGTCCAAAAAGCAACTTCTAAGCAAAAATAATTAATTTTAGGCAGAAATATTTATTTCATTTACAGATTATATTAACCTTTCATAGTCAATTATGAAATCTATAATATGCAGTGTGACTTGCCTCTCAAATTCCTTTCTGTTTATTTTTCAGAAGCGTGCGATATTTATCCATGTGTGCATGGGACATGTGTTAAAACTGCAGGAAAAGGAGTTTTCTGCAAGTGAGCTATCTATATATTTTACAAAATATTTTCTTACTTTTATTCACATAACCAGAATTTCTTCTGTTCAATTTCCTGTGTTTTAAATCAAAACTGGTTAATTTTTATATGAAGCATAGATTACTTACCGTAAACAGATATTAAAAATGTAATTAATGTTTGTTTACCTCAATGGATTAAAGCATAAAAAAGCTACATAGCTAAGCAATGGGAAGCACTTTATACAGTCGCTTGTAATTTACGTTGTATTTTATGGTTTCTGGACGCTGGAAAGGATGATCCTCTGCCCTAATGTGCTCCGTTCTTATTTTCTTCATCCACGTATATATGACACATTCAACAGTTACCTTTAAAACAAATTTTGTATCAAATAATGTACATATATATGTAGAATAAACATATATACAATAAACATATACTATATGTAGATAAAAAATATATAAATCAAAATTAACCTCTGAATTCCCCTCTTTGTCCACTTGTCTTTGACGCAGTCCAGGACTTGTCTTTGACACAGTCCAGAAAAGTTACGAGACTCGTAACTTTTCTGGACTGTGTCATTTCCAGGTCATCCCTTCTTGCATGATTTGCGTAACGTTGATGAAGGAACTATTCCGGAACCTAAACTCACAATTTTAAGAACTGAAACCTTTCTAACCTAAACCAAAACCTCCTCTTCGTCAGCCTGGACAGTAGATAATTGGGCACTTTTAGCTTCAGCTCCCTTGCAGTGAAGTTGCTATTTCGCTCCGCTTGCTTTGTCATGATGCTAACTCCACCATTACCTAAAATGTGGTAGTCCTCTGTATAAAATTGTGGGGTGCGTATTGCGCCCATGATCATGTGCGATGGAAGAGATGATTTTGACAACTAGTTCGTATCCACCAAAAAAAGTTACATTCAATTCGGCTACGTCTGTCTACAAGTATTTCCTTTGAGAGTCATTTTTCTTAGTATGAAATAAAACTATATATAAAATAATAATAACTATATTATGCAGAAAAACATCGTAATCATGTTGCAGTTTACTCCAAGTCAGCTTATTATGTATAGATATACGATTTCGTTTTATTAAAAACCCAGAACATTCCGCATGTGCCACAGATAATCACATGGGGCTTATACAAAAAATATGTATTGTTAAGAAGGAAAACTTCGCAGCAGCAGGAGTGGCTCCCTTCGAATGAAAAGGGAAACAGCTGCGCATGCGTGAAATATCTGTCGCCAAAAAGCGCCAAAGCTCGAAGCTGATGTCGAAGTTCGAACAGGTTCGATGCTCACATTTATCAAATGTTTAAAGCTGTGTGACTTCATTTTTTCCCTCCATATTGGTGGATATAAAATCAGACATCAAACTGCGGTATAGATAATGCAAGTTCAACAGCCAGCCAGTGAAAGTGAAACTTCACCTAATTTTCTTATTCATCTTAACCGAGCTCCTCAATTTCCTGTACATTCGCGGAAGAGAAAAATCTCGGTAAGGTCCCGTACATCACAGAGGGGGAATTTCTCGCCAACAGATTCCATCGCCAAATCCCTTTTCGAATTTTCCTTCTTCTTTCTAGCGGCGTAGAAGACAAACTGATTTACATTACGTCTACGGAGCCTTTCCTTCTTTACATAGACGTTCTTTGGCTTATAGTAGTAAATAAGATACAATACAGAAAACTAAACAGTAATTAATAATTGAAAAACTTATGACGGATTACAATAATTTACAATGAATATACAAAAGTATTCAAAGGCACCTCTGTCGGAAATAAACTGATGAAAAGCAAGCGGAAAGTTAATGGTAATACTTTTAGTGCTAGTTTTAATAGCTTTCTTTCACTGCGAAATTTGGAGCACGGAAGAATCATATAAGCAACATTCTCCTTTCTACAGACGCTGTAATCACAAAAAGTCTCTAGACCCAACTTAAAATCTGCTCAGATAAATTTTAAGTTTTCATATCCCGTAAGAAACAGCATCATTTTATAACTCGTAAAAAATAATTGACTTGTTAATCTCATATCGATGGTAGGGAAAATCTCTTATTTAAAGTTCCCTTTACTTGAACTAATGTATTCATGGTTCTACGACTCCACAACATTTCCACACAACTCATTCATAATCTTCTTAAAAAGGATTAGGGATATTGACAAAATGTCAACCTCGCGCTTTTGCAAGCAAATCGGCCAGGTAATTCTAAACAGCAGAGTATGTCCAAGAATTGTTTTTTATTTTTTAGGTTGAATTGTTTGGCTGAGCTAAATTTCCCAGTCTTTAGTTAATAATCACTGCTGTTAAGGAAATAAAGTGTTTTTATATTATTAAAAATTTTCCATCTTCTTATGCACGCTGCAGGCGAGTTAATACTGTCTGCCCAACAATGACATCGCTTGCAGACGCCATTTTTAATATAATCTTCTTGGTTTCCTACTTAACGGCGTAATAAATTAGTCTTAATCTTTTTAAAAAATTTCATTTTATATGAAATGAAAGCTTAAAGCTACTATATATTTCTTTGCAAACAGCAAAATAACTACAGTACTAAATCATAAATACTACAGTTCTAAATACTAAATCATAAATGATTTCAGGTGCGATGAGAATCACAAAGGTATTTCCTGCGATGTCCAAGTGGATAAAATTACAGGTGTGTATGCCTTGAGTACAGGTAAAATATTTTTTCTATCCTGTATGTGTGCACTTAAGGAAAGCATATCTTTCGTATGACAGAGCGTTTTCTTTATTCCGTAAGAAAATTCAGAATTTATAAATAATTAAAAAAAACAAGATTTAAAAGCATTTATGCCCTTATAGATCTAACAATCATTCACTGAAGAATAACCATTGAATGTAATACAATTTATTTTGGTTAAGAATACACCTTTTTCTCCAAAGAAGGATGTAAGTAAGTAAAATGAAATTCTGGAAAAATGCAATATTAAGTCGTGATAATTTTTTTAATATGTTGTAGTACTTAGTAAAAGAGAAGCAAAATCTAACATTGTGACTCGTGAATAAGTCTTCAAACATAAATATGACAGAGAAAGTGAAATAATAAATAATAACTGCTTTTGCTTAATAATGAATTATAGTACCGAGGCAATGAATTTTGAATAGTAAATAATGTAGTTCTAATTAAATTTGTAGCAACCAGCTGCAGAATATAAACGCAGCTGAGCTCTCAAAAAGAGTCTCAGTCATTGCTTTATTATTCATACATACAAGGACTAATTAAAGGCAAGAATGTGTTTTTCTCTAAAACAAAACTACATTTCTTCGCTCCAATGCACTTAATTAAAATTAATTTTAAAAGAAACTATATTTTCTTGCTCAATCAAGCTATTACTTATACAGAATTAAGCTATTATATTTTCTTGTTATGTATCACTTCATCGAAATAAGAGTCGAAATAATCCTTAATTAAATTTTGCCCTAATATTAATTACGCTGTTCCGGTTCACGTCACTTCATTCATTTCTTCTGTGCAGAATATGTTAAAGCCTGGTAACAACTATATCCCATTATTGGAAATTGCAGATTCACGGTCTAACTTTTAGTTATTGGAACATCAGTAAATCTTTTGAAATAAATAGAAAAGTTTTGTCGCGTTGAGTTCCACAGAATTTTACAATTGAAAAATCATCGACAACAAGGATTGATATATATTACTCTCTTCAGAGGAAACGAAGTCGAGGATGTCCGAAAAACAGGAGGTTTTTCAAAAACGATTTCGGAAGATGAGAAAGTGTGGTTTAATTTTAACATCCTATCAATAGACAAGCGGATAAAATCATTGAAAACCTATGGTTTGGTTAAATTGGGTTATATGCAGATGGCAAAGCCACGCGGGATATCAACCTAAGATGAAGGAGGCTTTCGTGTACGTCGTTCTAAAGAAAACTGTCCCGTATTTACGTTATATGTGGGAAAAGCGATAGAAAGCAAACACCCAGCCAGCCCGTTTGTCTGGGCATGAAAACAAACCAGGTCGAACCTTCAGTATTCAGCCGTCTTAAGTACTCGACCAGTCGTGGGGCCTTTATGGTATGAATCACATTCAAAGCTCGAAGAAAGATTTTTCTGTTTGGGTGTTTTCATTTTTTTTTTTTTTTTTTTTTTTTTTTCATTTTGGGTGTTTTCATGTTTCGATGTTTTTTAATCTTCAGACCGTCTTCCTGGAGGCTCTTTCTCAAAACTGGTGTAGAACTACGCAGTTAGTGTAGTACAGGTGTCGAATACACCTGTACTACACTAACTGTGTAGTTCCACTCCACTTACGTCACACCGTCCTCCGGGATGCTCTTCCTCAAAATTGGGGCGGAAATACACAGTTAGTGCAGCAGGACTTAGTACAAGTATATACTTTCGAAGAAAGGTATTGTTTTGTTTGTGTTTAAGGAAATCAATTACAGTTCCTTGCTTCCAGGTACCAGGGAAGAGAGAGAATTTTATTACTGCCTTAATGATTTTTGCGATGCAGGTGACAGCGTTAATAGGGCATGACAGCGTTTAAGAGCTTTATTGGGGATGTTGTCTTGTGAGACACTCTTCCTTGACATAGAAGCTTTGACTCCAAAAGTTAGTTATGTGTAGCAGTTAGCTAGCTTACCACAATCGCCTGTATAACTACAGATATTCTGGCCTAGTTTCTACCTATACAACGTAATTGTTGGCGTTTCCGTTCGAAAGTCCTCCATAAAAATATCCGTTTTCTTACGCAATGTATCCTTGCGTGTTTGATCATAATCCTATAAGTCAATCCAATTATTTTGAATAGTTAGAAGTGTTAATCTTTTGCAATCAGTTAAATTATTTTATAATGGCTTTAACAATTAAGCGACTTGCGCTGATCAACGGACTCCATGGGAATTTTCAGCAGGATAATGTGAAACCACTTACTGCAAGAATTATTTGACAAAAAATTGATGAAAATTTTAATTGTTCCCTTTAAGTGTCCAGTTATTACCCATTCCTCCTATTATTTTCCCAGGTCATTGTAGCATTTTCATATTTTTATGAGCTTCCAGAAAAAACTGGACATCAAGAATATAATAAATGGATTTTTTGCTTTCCAAATAAGGTATTCTCAGTTGGGGATTGAAACTTTACGTGAAAGAAGGCATAGAAAAGGACCGCTGTTATATATATATTAAGAATTAAATTTATGCCCGTTTATATTCTTTTGAATTTGACTCTGTCTCAATGCTGTATTACGTTCTGATCAGCTCAATATAAACTTACCAGTGAGGGTATCCAATCTGTTATCACGAATACGTTAGTGATTTCACACCAAAATATCCGTTTTCTTATACATTTTCAACTCTTATCCATGATAACTATTAAATCATCTCACAATCGAAATTCTCAATTTTGCATTAAATGCTGAAATCTGTAACCTTTTTTGATAAACTTATTTTAGAGCTTTGTAGAGTGGATCTCTCAAATGCATACGCATACGATCTGAAAAGATAAAACTTGTATTTTGCTATAAATATTTTCATAATTGCTAATATAAAGTTCGGTAGAAAAATGCATAGACACTTTGTGCAGATAAAACTGCACAAATTTAATAAAAATATTACTGTATAAAGTTTCATTCGGACAGTTGGTTTCAAAGTTAAATTAGCTTTACTATATGTAGTATGGTATTCGCTTAACACAGGTGGGTACTATGGGGACTGTAATATATGACGTATGACAGTACATTAAATTTACTTTGGGAGATTTGAATGATGTCGTGTAGCACAGGAAATCGGTGATGATGGATAACCACCTCCTTTAAGAAATTACAGCTGCATGTGCAAGAGCAAGGCCCACCAGCGGCCGAGCGGTAAAAGCCGCCGAACACTGGTAGTTCAGTCAGGGGTTCGAGTTCCAGCGAACGGGCTGGCTGCACGGGCGTTTTCATGGTTTTCGCCATGTGTAACGAGTATACGAGCCAGTTTCCCTTAGAAAGTCGTCCACTACGGCATCCCTCCCTTTAGGCAGATAGCCCTCATGTTGCTTTGCCATAACTCACTAATCCACTAATCCCTTAAAAAGACCTCCGAGGGGCATTCCTCCCTTTCTGTGTAGTGCGTAAGGGTGGAGCTCGTAATAAGAAAAAAAAATCTGCCGCGGACACACTAGACAATGTAATTAAAGCAACAACCCGCCATTGTACTATGTTTCTAGCTGTTAAAGGCCATTACTCTGACAGTTTGAGCACTCTAAGTATCTATCCAGTTCAGGTGCAAGAAAATTGCATTAAACCTATTTTAACAGATCATGTGCATATTAGCCTATAATATTAGTAATATATTTATTTCATGACTTTTAAGCTTAATGTACAAAATATTATATAGAATTATATATTTTAGTATGCAATGATTATACTTTTACAGAGAAAACGACATGCCAGATTAAAATTTTCCTCCGCAATTACTTCGGAGGGATTGGACAGATATCGGGCTCTTGCATGCTGTGGCGCCAAAGCTACAAGGAGAGAATATTATTTACCATTGAAATTAGAGTAACTTGTTGATATTTGCACTGTACTTATTTATTGTTCACGTTGTGGATGCCTTTTGTAACCACCTATCCATAACTCTGTAAATATGTAACTGAAGTTGTTCTTCTCACCCGCCTTGCACCCTTCTTCCATCACTGCACTATCGTCTCGTCCAGCATTTGTTTGCACTGGCCCCCCCAGCACTCGTCTTAAGCACAATATGTACATATGAGTGTATGATGTTGATCAAGTTATTTCCGTCAGCGGAGTTACCTGGCCGATATGCGAACTGCCCCAGTGGACCGGCTGCCTCGCTGTCGGTGGAAAGAAAGAAAGTATACTAGCTGCGAGGTTGCAGTAGTGTTTTAAAAGACGAAAACATACATGTTTAGGGCACTGCCACATATAAAAAACAATTATTTTCGACAAATAACGAAATATAAATTTAATGCTGTTCTAAGAAGTTTGAAACCAATACCGATTAGGATTATTTAAATATGGCAAAGCACAATAGGGCTATCTGTCTAAAGAAGGGATGCCTTCGTCGAGGACTTTCTAAGGGATACTGGCTCGTATACACGTTACACATGGGGAAAACCACGAAACCGCCCATGCAGCCAGCCCGTTCGCGGGAACCTCGGACTGAACTACCAGTGTTCAGCGTTTTTACTGCTCGGCCGCTAGTAGGCCTTGAAACCAGTACGAAAACAATTGCCCGGGATATTTAATTTCAAAACTTCCAATTTATGATGTCATTTTTAAGTTGCCTTGATGAATCGGTTAATTAAGCTAGAATAATTCGTGGATACAAGCTTAAATGAAGTTAAGTAAAAAATGTGTATAATTTGTCAGGTTGTATAAGGAACTACTATGGTTTTTCACATCAAGTTTTTTTTATCTCTTCCGGAAAATTTTCTCTTCGCTTCATAAACTAGCAAAAGATACTGAATTCATACGGTTTATTAGATAATAGATTTGCGTATCGTTCATTCAGTTATCCTCCTCTTATTTTCTAAATGTTGTTTTTAGACTATGAAATATGGTGACTTATTACAAATACACTTATTCAATGTGTGGAACACGTGTAATAACCGCTGTTAAACATTTTATAGTTCAAACTGAAGTTCAACTGTTTCATGCATTTACTAACGCTACCAATTTTTGACCCACAGAAAACAGGAAAGAAATCACTGCAGTTCTCATTCTTCAAGGAGCTGTGCTAATTGTAACAATGGCTGTGTTAATAAGTTTTTGCTATGTGTACTGCAGAAAGTAAGTGCACACTTTCCAAAATTTTTCCATCCGTTATTGAATTACTGTCCGTTTTAGTGTGGTTTTTAAAACGATGTAAGTTAACTTTTTTCGAAACTAGAAGAATTTTATACAAATGATGTATAATCAAATCCATGTGTAGAGACCCGATTTATAACAAATCCCGATAATAGCGAATGGACCTATAAGTTCTGTCAAATTTTTTACACGCTTAAAGTTATCTTGCATGACTATAGCAAACCCCCAAAGGTATAACGAACTCCAAACGGATATAACAAACTTTACAGATATATTCGATTGAAATATGTGTGTTTAGCCGAATGGGCTATTAGCCTTAAAAAGAGATTTTGCGCTGTTCCAGATTTTCATCGCGACGAGGGCATTGCTTATTTTTCACCTCTCTTTCTTCACAATAATCTTATGACTCTGCAATTGACGCCCGAATTAAAAGTATAATGGGCGATAACTCTCCACCACCGGAATTTGGCAACTGGGTTCCATGATCCGCAGTCGCATTTTTAAAGGGGTGGTACGTAAGGTTATTTTCTCTATTCTTTCAACATGCTTTCGTGGTGTAACTGGCAGCCCACTCCACGTGTATTCGAGAGATCCAAGGTTTGAGTCACGGCGAGAGTAAGGGACATTTTTCACGTCTCCTGGTTCAAAATAACCCAATGACACCACAAGGAGAAATTTCTCACACTTTCTGGCCTAATTCCCTACAAACTGTATGGCTAAATACATGTTGTGGCAAAAATTATTAATACAGCTTTAAAATAAACATTATTCATTAACGGACAAAGGTAACCATTGTTCCAATAATACATAATAGATGTAATCAAATCGACACGGAAGTATGGTTCATCCAAATCTGCAGCTGGCATATCATATACAAAATCAAGGCTCGGTAACTTCTACGCATGAAGAAAGTTTGGATACGAGTAAAATATTAAGAAAGGTCGAGAATAAGGATGTTGAAAAACAGTTGCTGGAACTATTCTCCATTTTAAAGAGGCCGTAATTTGCCCATATTTGGTCAAATGTTTCAGATAAAGCTGGAGGGGTGGAGTCTTCTCTTTTTTTAAAAAATGTTAAGAAATGTTTCCTACAAACGGCATCATACAAGAAGAAGATTATAAACTGGTTTTGTACACAGAAATTAAATTCATAGATTCTCAGTTTCTTTGGAAGCATAAACTAAAGGCTCAATCTGAGAACAAGGGACTTATTAATATCTTCAGTAAGTAGGAAGAGGCTTACAAAGGCTATAAAAGAAACGTTTATCAGATAATTAAACTTGTGCCAGCCTGTATTTATAGCATAACTTAAAATTAAAGAAGTAAAAGCTAAGTTAAAGTTGCTGTGCAAGTTGGTTCAAACCTAATGCTGAGAATAATGCAACGCCGCAGACAGACTGCTATTGAATAATTTCGACGACTATCGTGGTCTTTAGTAGGTAGAACACGCTCTGACTAAACAAGCCGAAAACCTTTAAATGCTATTTCTTTATACCTCACTTGTACGCACGAAAACTAAAATTTACATTTTTGCAGGGAAAAAGAAAATGAAAAAGGCATTAAAGCTAATTAACATAAACTGGTTAGAAATAGGGGGAAAAAATCTTACAAGTTATGAATAAATTCCTTAATAGATTTTGCTATTAGTTTATCGTACTTTATTTTACATTTTTATTAACAAATTAATTATTCATTTTAGGAAGAGATGTACAACTGGAGAGAAGGATCAGAACCATTAGACTAATTGCATTTTTGGCATTTACGCTGATAAAATATTATGTAGAATTATTAACCTACAGTGAATATAGAAAAGATTGAGCAGCAAGCTTCATAATTGGGCATAATAATAACTGAAGTTAAACATCAATATGATTTCTTTTAAATTAGATTAATTATTCTCTTCGTCGGACAGATGTGAAAATATTAATCATATTTTCATTAGTTTGTGATTCATCAGTCACGTTATACCCTTTTTAGTGATATAATCCATTTTTGGTCTCCTATAGGGTATAGCAAAGCATATTTTCCGTCCCTCTAAGTTCTTTATAGTGGTATTCAATTGCATTTGGTAATACCTACAACTGTGCTATGTCTTGTAAATGATATGCTAACTTTCTATATTATGCTATTTCTATATTATACATTACTAACTTTCTATATTATTATTTTTATTATTCGAATAAAACTGGGAAATCAAAGCAAGAGTTACTAATAAATGTACGGAATTTAAATACATTCAGTATGTAACAAGAACTGATCGCTAAACGTTCTTTCTTCTTCTTTTGTTTATTTATTTATTTATTTATTATTTTTTAATTTCACGGGCAATTGTTTGCTTATAAACTTGGATGTAATTTTGCTCTCTCTCTCTCTCTCTCTCAAAACAAAAAAAAAAAAAAAAAAAAAAAAAAAAAAAAAAAAAACCTGGTAATTCTTGTTTCATACTAACACAAATAACTGTCATATATAACAGCATTTTAATTAGATTCGTAAACAGTTTTTAAGAAAGAGTTGAAAACGTAAAGGTTATCAGCTTAAAATGTGTTGCTTCAAGTAGCGCCGTCAATTCCTATTGATTTATTAAAAAAAAAAGTTGTTTTACAAGCTTCTTAAATTTACAGTTCATATTTTACAAATAGAAAATCAGAACAAAATCTGTTAAAACTACATTAGCAAATGATTACGTTCACTAGTATTATTAACATGAAATGTATGCAAATGTAAGTAAATGTAAGTACTTTTGGAGCATAATACGATGCTCCAAAAATAAATGTAAGTACAAACACCTAATAAATATGATTCTTAAATATGCTATCTACGATTTCGACGTCAGGAACTGTCATACAGGATGCATATCATTTTTTGTGTTTATTTCTGTTATTCTATCTCAGCACTTGCTGACATTATGTTTTCAAATAATTGTTATTTTGTTCAATAACCCTAACTCTTTCACATCGGTAGAGAAAAAAAGTCTGTTCTTCTGAAACTCCAGTATATGTGAATTTTTGTTGGAAATGATTTCTTTCTTTCTTTACTCCATACCAAATAGAATTCTACAGAGTTAAAAATAACCTCCCTAAGAGAAGCGACTACTTATCTCTTCAGAATCTTTGTACCGTTGTACACAACTGTGTGCAGATTTGCCTTAGGACAGAATTTGCAGCTTCAAACATCAAACGCAAAACGGTGAAATTAAATAAAGCGAGAGGGAAGGTGCATTCAAATAAGGAAGCTACTTTTAGTCGCTTGAAAAGAATGATTGGAATCACATTTAACAACTCCCTAAACCAATAACCCTCATGCAATAACGTGATGAATAAAAGTACCAGGTAGTACCAGGTAAAAAGTACCAGTTAAAATGAAAGTACAGATAGAAATACAGGTGTTCTGGCGACGTACCAACGAAGGAATTCACGAGCGTTTTGAAAAAGTTATTTCCTCACGTACTTTATCTATGTGTTCAAAGTTACCCATCTAATGAAAAATATTTTGTGGATATTTATATTAATATTGGACTTATTTATGTTAATGTAATTTTTATATATTTTCTATTTAAAGTTGCAGGAAAGGCATGAATAAGAAGATAATGAAAATTGATACAGTTTCTTGAAAATCACTTTAAAAGAAATCCGGAAATAACAGAAATGAACATGACACATTATATTTACAAGATGCTCTTCATATGACTGAACATGCTAATTATTATGGTATAAAAATGTGATGTTTACTTGATTTGCATAATATTTGATTTAATGTAATAAACTTTACCTGCAAGTCAGAAGTTCTAATAAAATCCATTGCCTTTATCATATAACGCTCTCAATATTTATTTTGTTGCTATAGTATTAGAAGGAATCTTGGATTTATATTTATGTTAACGCAATCAACATTGATATTTTTTACTTCCTTGTACGAAGTAAAAAGGAAGTATCGTAATCGCGAAAACTTTCAGGCAGCATATTTTAACGAAAATATCCATTTTGACCGCTATCGAATGCAATTGAACGATGATTTTGCGTGACATCTGTACGTAAGGACAGAATAAAAGACTCTTTTCCCTCCAAAAAAATTATAAAAGTGCTTTAAAATGAATTCTGAAGATAATTTTTCGTGGCGTCTGTACGAACGTATGTACGTACGTATCTCGCCTAACTCAAAAACGCGTAGCCTCAGAACGTTGAAATTTTGCATATGGGACTGCTATAACATGCAGATGTGCACCTCGTATTTTGGTAGCAATCGGCGGCACCAAACGTATATAAATATATTTATATATATATCCACTCTGTTACCCGGCTCAGTGATCTCAGTTTCGTTACTCTTATATGTTTGTAAATTGTACATTCTTTGCTTTAAAAAGGATTGAATTATGTTGTTCTTATCTTCCGGTTAAGGTTTTCATGCCTTTAGTAAATCTGTAGGCAATATTTTTAGAATTATCAACAATTTTAAAGTTGTTTAAGTGCCGTTAAGCCTAATAATTTTTTTGATGGCGGCCATTGCTTGTTTACATTTGAAACAGCAAAATAGTGGAGTTGTTGCCAATCTAGAGAAACTTAGTGCCGCAATAACAAAGATAACGCGTCCATTTATTAGATATTATTACGATTAGATAATTCTTTAAATGATATAAATTTTGTGCATTCTGAGTTATAATATGAACGAAATATAATACTGTTAAATGAACCAGAGTGTCGCTATGGTAAACAAACAGAGTAAATTTTAAATAATGCATTTATTCTATTGTGGTTTATGTGCTGTCGACAAAGTAGATTTAATTCAATCCAATAAGTTTAAATGAAATGCAAGAAAAATGAGTATAATTTAATATTCCGTACAAGGAAGTCATGTGGTGCACACATCAGATTTTTTTATTATTAAAGGTTTAACTCTATTAAAAATGAGTTAAATAATCTATGTATTTAAAAAATAAATTTCATCAGGAATACTAGTGCTACTCTGGTAGACTGGCGCACGGGTATTTAGCGATTTTTCTTGGCGCGGTGGTTGTTACGACGGCACCGATTGAAATGCAAGAAAAATGCGTATAATTTAATATTCCGTACAAGGAAGTCATGTGGTGTACACATCAGATTTTTTTATTATTAAAGGTTTAACTCTATTAAAAATGAGTTAAATAATCTATCTATTTAAAAAATAAATTTCATCAGGAATACTAGTGCTACTCTGGTAGACTGGCGCACGGGTATTTAGCGATTTTTCTTGGCGCGGTGGTTGTTACGACGGCACCGATTGAAATGCAAGAAAAATGCGTATAATTTAATATTCCGTACAAGGAAGTCATGTGGTGTACACATCAGATTTTTTTATTATTAAAGGTTTAACTCTATTAAAAATGAGTTAAATAATCTATCTATTTAAAAAATAAATTTCATCAGGAATACTAGTGCTACTCTGGTAGACTGGCGCACGGGTATTTAGCGATTTTTCTTGGCGCGGTGGTTGTTACGATGGCACCGATTGAAATGCAAGAAAAATGCGTATAATTTAATATTCCGTACAAGGAAGTCATGTGGTGTGCACATCAGATTTTTTTATTATTAAAGGTTTAACTCTATTAAAAATGAGTTAAATTATCTATTTAAAGAATAAATTTCATCAGGAGTACTAGTGCTACTCTGGTAGACTGGCGCACGGGTATTTGGCGATTTTTCTTGGCGCGGTAGTTGTTACGATGGCACCCATTGCTGAAATATTTATTTATGGTAATCCATAATTGACCAGCTGTGGCGTTTGAAGTCGTTTTATTTTTTAAAGAATGCGTTTTAATATGTATGAGTTCTGCGTTTAAAATAATATTATGTCTGTTAAATATTGAAAAAGTTTTAATTTTGAACTTTTATTTGAAATATTTATTTTATTTATTTGTGATGTTTTAAATCATTTTATACTGTGGATGATGTAATAAATGAAGTCATTTTATTTAAAAAATAACGCGTTTTAATCTGTATAAATTTTGCGTTTTAATTTTTGTGAAGTCTTGCATCTTAAATATTATTTATGGCAGTTGAATATTAAAATACTATTTAACTTTGAATTTTTTTTGAAAAACAGATTTTATTATTTATGATTATTTAAATAGTTTTATGAGGATATAATCAGTATTAGCAGTGAAGCCCCATGCTGCAGTGGAGCATTGATAAGAATCTTCCTCTTTCGAAAACAACCGTGTAAAATTTGAATTGCTGAATCGGAATGCTTTAGTAATAACGGAAATCCTTGAGCCCAACTGGCAGCTGTTTCCCTTAAATATATAAGTTCAGGTAATTCAATTTGTTTACCTTGTTCAATGATTCGTTATTATGGATTGAGGACTCAAAACTATTCCAAAAATTAAGTCATTGACTACTGTCTCCATAAAATACGGGAATCGAAAATTTTGGTAATTTTAACATAGAGTGTATCGATTATATTTTGCTAAGTGTTTGGTGTATTTAAATCACTATCCTGGACCAAAATTACTGAAGTATTGTGTTCAAGTCATGGTTAAATTCTTTAACCCGTTTTCTTAGGCCTAAATTTCCATAATGTTATCTTCTCGCGATATTGTTCTGTAATTTCGCTTTCGTTTTCGAATTCATTTGCTCTCAAAACTTAGTTCAGTTTCAGCATCGGCATTAGACAGTGTTTCGGTTTTAGCGTTGCACTGTTCTAACAATTCTTCGAGCTCATTAACATTAGCTTCTAATTTATCTAATTCATTTTCGATTTTATAACATAGTTTTGTAATGGCAGTTCTTAAGATACTACTTTTCTTTTTTAATTTATCTAATATTTTCTCTGCCGTTTCCTTCTTAGATTTAAATACCTACATGAAAAAGAAATAATTAATTCTTACTTAGATAACAAAATTATTCTTTCGCTGAATATTTCAAGACCTAAAATCTTCAAATTTAATGCTCAGCATCTGAATTCAGTTTATTAGAACTTTAAAAAATCTGGCGTCCCTGTTCGGGTGCCATCAAAATGTTGCATCAGGATCTTATAACAAAAAGTAATATAAAACTCTTACCTCATACATTATTTACAAAATAGATTCTAAATAGTTTAAGACAACTATATCATATATTACATTTTAGCTGCTTTACAGAGGTTTTGTCTTGACGATGCTCAGAGCGCGTTCGAATCTACACTCGTTCTCAGATCTCAGTCAGAAAAAAAGGAAAAAGAGTCGCCATCTAGTGGCAAGAATGGGACAAACAATAATTAGCTTTGCATAAATAACAAAATTTGTGCAATCAATATTTTTATTTTTGCCGACATTTAGATAGCGATTTAAATTTTGAATAAGCTCTCTTTCTTATTAAAATGAAATACAGTCAACAACCGATTGTTTGGCGGATGAAACGGATTGTGGATTAACAGTTATTTTCCTAAAAATGGTTACGTTTGTTTATTGAAGAAAGAAAAGTACCAATCACAGTTGATCAGAATAAAGTAACAAAAAATGCAAAAGCGAGAAGAAATGGTAAGCGATATCACTAAGCATAGAAGGTGATGTCACAATTTTTAAAAATGGTTTGTATTAATTGTAGGGTTTATATTTATTTTAACTAACATTTATTTTAAGTTTAAACTATCTTTCCTGTCAAGCCTTACTTTCCCCTGGAACTGCCAATGCCAGAATATGTAAATTTTAGTAGAACGCGCAAGGATTCAAATTATCAGCGGAAGTATTCTGATTTAAATAGAAGGAAACGAGTTCGGTGAGATTCTTACTTAGCGAGCGCGGAGGTAGTTAGCGAGAATTGAAGAACCCCGCGTTGCGGCCTATGTGCTTGGCGGGAAGTTGTGGAAATTGTTCCAGTGAGCTTCAAGTCTGCTGAATTAGCAGCGGTATTGTAAAACACGGTGAGTTAGTTATTTTAGAGAGCCTCGTAGTTAGAATCTTGTCTTTATTTTCTTTTCAGGGTATTATTTTTATTTTGACTGCCAAGTGGGCACAGTTTGTAAGCGTCAAGAGGACGCAATTGTAATTTATTACGTTGAATAAAAAGGGACTTAAACCCTTTACAAGACTCTGTGGTTTATACAAGCTTTCACAGTCACCCTTGGTTGCGTGCAAGTTGGAGGCGCGCAACGTTATATTGGCGCCCGAACACTTATCGAACTGAAATGGCCGAAAATTGGATGGAAGCCGCTGGACAACACCAAGAAATGACAACTCAGTTAGAAGGATTTGGATACCTGGTCCAGACTTTGAGAGCATCAATCAAGCCAAACGTCTATTTCGACGGAAAAAATTCGGTGTCCGTATTTTTAGAAGGTATAGAAAACCACTTTCAGCTCTACCCTGCCTGAAAGACAAAAAGTTGCCATCGCCACATCAGCACTAAGAGGACAGGCCACGCTATGGTGGAAGAACATAGGCAAATTTCTATTAGGGGAATTTGGAAGCCCGACATATACATTTGAAAATTTCAAAAAATCGTTAGTAAAGGCCTTCCCCATAGTGAAAGATCGCGCACGGCTGGAAGCCGAGCTATATAGTTTCTATCAACGGGATACAGCAGAATTGACGGACTTTATTTTACGAAAAATCAAGCTAACGGATATGCTGTATGGGAAAAAACCCGATGCGGAGATAATTGAAATAATATTACCAAGATTGTTACCCGCTGTCCAAGACTACTTTGAAATTAGAAACCCAAGAACATTGCAGGAACTCTTCGAATTGGCGGTGAAGTTTCAAAATCGCAGAATCGCGGAAAGAGCGAGAGGGGAAACATATTCTCAAAGTACCCGAAGGAAGGAGGAAACCAGAAATGGAAATCGCTCATATGGGGGA